AATTCCACGTCGTGCATTATTTGCCAACGCTGGGACTGGTTGGAGAAAGCGGAGAGGTGGTCAGTGTATGACATGGTGTCGTGGCATGAAAGAAAGCTGCAAAGGACTGGCTTCTGTCGTTTCTTCACGATTCCCTGGCTGTGGTCCGAGAGATGGTGCTACACAGTGGCTAGAGACGTTATCAGATATGGCTCAGAATAGAAGCCAGTGGAGATCCTGCTGTAACCTTCTTTTACTTTCTTCATAAAAAGTGGTTGTGTCTTCCTTAACTGAAAGATTTTTTATGACTGTACCTTTCCGTTCCCTCATAATTACTATTATTATTACTACACTACCTTACACTAACCTCTTCGTTATTGTTCTCTCTTTTTTTACGCTCCTTACCTTTTTTTCTTTCTCTTCGAATTCTCATTGTTTTGTGTGGCGCATATATATTGGCGATCTCTTGTACCAATAATTATGTGTTCAAATAAATAAATAATAAAATAAGTCAGGAAGCACTAGCGTCAAAAATCAATCGAAGAAAATTTAGTGATTTTAAGAAAAACGAATGGTTTTCATAACAAAAGCAAAAATCGTAACATGTGGTCTCAAATACTATTTAAACTAAAATGTGATTTTTTTGAAGAACTAATTTTAACCGGGAAATAAGCTAAGTGTATAATAGCACTTGGAATGTGATAAGATTGCTAAAGTAGTGTTTATCATTCACCGTAGCTACAACTCTTCTTTACCATTATGAAAGTTTAAAATTTTTACTGTTTTAAAGCCACTTCTAATTCAAGGTAAACATTACTTACTTACTTACTTACTTACTTACGCCTGTTACTCCTCGTGAAGGAACATAGGCCGCTCACCAGCATTCGCCATCCAACCCTGTCCTATGCTATCCTTTCCAGCTCCTTCCAGTTCCTATTCATCCTTTTCATATCTGCTTCTATTATCCGACGTAATGTGTTCTTTGGCCTTCCTCTTTTCCGTTTCCCTTCAGGATTCCAAGTAAGGGCTTGCCTCGTGATTCAGTTTGACGGTTTGCGTAGTGTATGTCCTATCCATTTCCATCGTCTTTTCCTAATTTCCTCTCCAGCTGGAAGCTGGTTTGTTCTCTCCCACAAAGGGCTGTTGCTGATAGTATCCGGACAATGGATGTTGAGTATCTTGCGTAGACAGCTATTTATAAATACTTGTACATTCTTGATGGTGGTTGTTGTAGTTCCCCAAGTTTCAGCTCCGTACAGTAGAACTGCCTTGACATTCGTATTGAAGATTCTCACTTTGATATTCGTTGAAATTTGTTTCGAGTTCCATATGTTCTTCAGCTGAAGAAATGCGGCCCATGCTTTGCTAATCCTCACCTTTACGTCTGCATCTGATCCTCTTTGTTCATCGATTATGCTTCCCATGTATGTGAAGGATTTTACATCTTCCAGAGTTTCGCCATCAAGTGTGGTTGGATTGCTGTTCTCCGTGTTGTGTTTCAGGACCTTGGTTTTCCCATTGTGTATGTTGAGGCCTATTGATGCAGAGACAGACTACTACTACATTGGCTGTCTTTATCTGCATTTGCTCATGTGTATGCGATAGGAGGGCCAGGTCATCTGCGAAGTCCAAATTGTCTCATTGATTCTGAGCTGTCCATTGTATTCTGCGTTTTCCCTCAGATGTCGAGGTCTTCATAATCCAGTCGACTACCAGAAGAAAGAGGAAGAGAGAGAGTAAACAGCCTTGTCTGACTTCTATCCTTACTTGGAATGCATCTGTCAGCTGTCCTTCATGCACGACCTTGCACTGTAGTCCGTCATATGAATTCCGGATAATAGTGACAATCTTTTCAGGAACTCCGTAGTGTCAAAGAAGTTTCCATAACGTCCTCCTACCTACACTGTCAAATGCCTTTTCATAATCAATGAAGTTGATGTACAGTGACGAGTTCCACTCAATTGATTGTTCGACAATGATCCGTAGTGTCGCAATTTGGTCTGTGCACGACCGATCCTTACGGAATCCAGCTTGTTGATCTCGAAGTTGGGCGTCTACTACATCTTTCATCCGGTTCAGCAAAACTCTGTTAAAGATTTTTCCTGGTACTGACAGTATTGTGATTCCTCTGTAGTTTTCACATTTGCTCAGGCCTCCTTTCTTTGGAATCTTGATGAGGTATCTTTCTTTCCAGTTCGTCGGCACCTGTTCTTCCTCCCAGATCTTCTTGAATAGAAGGTGATGCAAGTTTGTAGTTACTTCGATGTCCGACTTCAATGCTTCAGCTGGTATATTGTTAGATCCTGCTGCTTTCCCACTCTTGATTATTTTGATCGCCATTCTGATTTCTTCCATCGTTGATGGACTGACATCTATAGGAAGAGGGTGTGTGCCGCTTCGATGTCCGGTGGATTCATAGGAGCTGGCCTATTCAAGAGTTCCTCGAAGTACTCTACCCATCTGTTTCGCTGTCGTTGGCTTTCAGTGATTGGCCTGCTTTCTTTGTCCTTGACCGGTCTCTCTGGTTTACTATAGTTCCCTGAAAGTTTCATCGTTGTATTGTAAAGCTGTTTCATATATCCTTCTCTTGCAGCTTTTTCCGCCGTCGTTGCTAGTTCTTCCACGTATTTCTTCTTGTCGGCTCTAATGCTCCTCTTCACTTGCTTGTTTGCTTCTATGTATTTAGCTTGTGCTTAGACTTTCTCTGTTCGTGTTCGGCTGTTGTTAATTGCTGTCTCCTCGTTCTTCCTTTCTTTGATCCTGTCCTGTGTTTCTATAGAGATCCATCCCTTATGATGGTGCTTCTTTAGGCCCAGAACCTCTCGACACGTTGAAGCAAATGCTTCTTTGATACTTTTCCAATTGCCCTCCATAGTAGTTTCTTCTTCTTTCAGTAGATCCTGTAAGACTTGGAATCTGTTTTTGAGAGCTATCTTGAATTCGTTGATTTTGTTAGTATCTCGAAGGAAGGCTGTATTGAACCTTTGTAGTGCTGTTTGTCCAGTTGTCCAGTTCTTCTTTAGCTTCAGTTTTAAATTGGCCACAACTAGATGGTGATCTGAAGCTATGTCAGCTCCTCTCCTGCTTCTCACATCCTCCATTGTCCTTCGGGATTTCTTATTGATGCAGATATGATCTATCTGGTTCTCTGTAGTGTGGTCCAGTGAGATCCATGTAGCTTTGTGTATACGTTTGTGTAGAAATATTGTGCCTCCTATGACCAATTTGTTGAATGCACAGATTTGCAAAAATTTCCCCATTTCCGTCTGTCTCTCCCCGTCCATGTCGTCCCATGATATCTTCATATCCGGTGTTGTCGATTCCGACTTTGGCGTTTAAATCTCCCATCAGAATGGTGAGGTCCTTTCTTTGGCACTTCTCTGTGATTGACTGCAGCCGCTCGTAGAATTGATCTTTAATGTCGTCGTTGCTATCATTGGTGGGTGCATAACATTGAATAATATTCATTGTGATTCCCTCCTTCTTTGTTTTGAATGATGCTTTGATGATTCTGGATCCGTGAGATTCTCATCTTACAAGTGCATTTCGTGCTACTTTTGACAGCATTAGAGTAACTCCCTGAGTGTGTGGAGCATTTTTCTCTTTATGACCGGAGTATAGTAGCATCTCTCCCGTATTTATCCTTTGTTTTCCAGCTTGGGTCCAATGAGTTTCGCTGATTCTCAGTACTGCCAAGTTGTATCTCCTTATTTCCGTTGTTATTGGACTGGTCCTCCCGGTCTCCCACATTGTCTGGACGTTCCATGTACCTATAAAAATTGTTGTTCTGGTTGTTAGAAGGGGCATCGGCCTCGTGGCTCCCGAAGGAACTCGGCTTTCACCATGAAGCGTTATAATTCTTCTAAATGAAGACCTTCTAACTTTCAGGGCAGAGTTTAAATTGTTTGAATAATTTTTTTCTTATAGGCGTTTATTTAGCGAGTTAGTTTTCTACGGGATGGGGACGCCCGGAAGTAGATCGCCCGGATGTAGGAAAGAACAGTTGTTATAAGCGATACTAAAGTCAGTACATAAATCAGAGTAGGTAAGCATTGAATCACCTTCATCCATAACTATGACAAGGACCACGACAGTTAATTAAGAAATGTGCTTTAGGCCCGATTGTTTCAGGGGGTTTTGAAAGTTGTCAACAAATTTATGTAAAGAACTATCTTTTATAGCGAAAATTAGCTAAGAACAATGAAGAACTGAAAAACTTCATGTTTGGGGTAATCATGACTCAACTATTCGGATTTTTTTAAACAAAATGTCCTTTCTATTTTACATGATCTTGCAGTAAACAATACATAAAAATAAACCGTATGTTGGCGAAATAAAATAAAATTGACCAGGTAACGAAGGGGTTATTAACCATAAGGATAAAAATTATTTTACAAATTCTGTTACCAAAGTAGTAACTCTACTAATCATACTTTAAAAACCCTCTATGTGACAAGTCAAATTAATTTAACCATTTTCTACTGTTTTATTTAATTATTTTATTCATTTGAAACACATAAATACCTATGCTAATGGGTACAAAAATAAATAAGCGTTATCCAAATAAAAACATGAAATCTTGAAGGAATATAGAGAGAGGGAATATGATAGGAATAAACAGAAAGGTAAGTGAATGAGATTAGTTTATAGTAAGAGAAACAGTTCGTTTGCAAAGTACAGAAAAGAAGAATCTTTGCAGTTAAGGGGATTGATTTCACGTTTGTTAACAATGTAAAAAAAAACACTGGTATTTGTTTTGAGCTGTCTTTGATAACTTCTCAAGCAACTGAGCTGCATAATCTATAGGACACTAAACAAGGAGTCATAATGAACTGATAGATGTTCTACATAGAAACATTTCATTCATACCACGGCTCCATTTCGTAAAGTAATCAAGTATATAATGATTATTATTAATAAAGACAATGTTCTCGATCTTATTTGTGAGTTATATCATAATTGTACCGAATTCCTCGAACAAATTTAATTTCATTCAAACAAAACGCAGCAATTTAACTTACCCAATTTTATGTCTTGCATCATCACAATCAATTGGCATAGAAATTAGTTGATTACGAAGCATAACAGAAAAATTAGCAACTACAGTTTCCACATCACTATAAACTAGAAAAATAAGAGGGAACTTTTTAGGGGAGAACTATAATATCCGTTTTTTTCTGTGGAGAAAAAAACACTTTAAACATAGCTACAATAATTTAAGATCTCACCAAAAATGAAGACAATTGCTTAGCTACAACTTGATGAAATTGTGAGGAGTAAACAAATCGATGTTGTACAGGATTCCTCCTTTTATATAAATGGTACGCTTTGTTCCTCTATTTATTACCAGGTTTCCCATGGTGGTCTAGCTTCAATTGACTCATGATCTCAACTAATGAAATTACTACAATCTCCACAAAACCCCTTCGGATACTAATCAACATATGCTCACTAGTGACTGACTTCAGGATGTATATCCTGGAGTTCTGGTGAGAAACAGTGACCAGTGGAGTTTAACCGGGTCAGTTGTGAGATGACGATGGTGGATGCGTCGCTCAATTCCGTGGATTAGTTGACGTTAGACATTAACACCGTTGGATGCCTCCCAGATCAGTGGTCTAGTGGTCAAGCGCTCGCGCGCAAGAGCGATAGGTCCTGAGTCCGAACCCCGCGAGGCGATGTCGTGGATGCGCACTGCTGAGGAGTCCCACAATAAGATGAGACGGCCGTCCAATGCCTCCAGGTTTTCCATGGTGGTCTAGCTTCAATTGACTCACCATCTCAACTATTGAAATTATTAGTTACAGTTAAAACAATGAATTTATATGATTCAAAAAACGTAAGTAGTGTTTGAGTGGTGTTTCATTCCCTTGAAAATAGCTTACAACATACTACTTCTTTCAGTAGATCTAAATTTCAGTATTTACAAGCTGAAGTGCAGCAGTAAGAAGACTTTTTGTTGTTGTTGATTCGTTAACCTTTTAAATAAGCTAACACGTTATACTACTTTTGAGAACAATGTGAAGTCACGTATACACGCAACAGATGCTCCTTAGCTTAAACTTTCTTGGTCCTTTCATTAAATCGTCTGACAAAAACTATGTTTTGAATTAACCAGGACTAAAAGAGAGGATAGGAAAATTTTGTTTTTAATTTCAAAAAGTCAAAGCTAGGAGTTTTTCACCATGTAGTCAAAGTGTTTAACGAACGAAACAATAGTTAAATTACATGTTATATTACTTAGGCTGCCTAAAAATTATGTGATTTTTTACTTCTATTTTTCACCAAGTCTACACTGGGTTGTAAAAAGTAAGAGACCAATATACAACAACATAAAAAAATTGCTGTAAACCAGAAATAGGTTTCGACATTGTTGTGAATCCAATTATCTCCATAGTTAAAAACAAGGACTGATATTAGACACTTATTAAACAAATGCTTAACGTTGAGATCACTGAGTCAGTATCCAACAGTGTATACATGTTTAAATTCGATCAGTTTCAAAAAAATTAACGACCAGCTTCTATTACATCCCGTAGATAACTATTTCAATAATTACTAAACACACTACTTAATAGTATATTGAATAGTAACAATAAAATGATCACATATTTCAACTATGTACACCCAATATGCCAACTGTAAAAAAAGCAGTCAAAAGAATGTTCAAGTAATTATATGCTGATATAAATCAAAAAACCAATCTGTGATAAGCACTTAAAAACTAACTAGTCAACAATACTGGACAAATCTTGTACAAACCCACTGCAGAAAATTTCACATTGTAATAATTTCCTATCTTTATATAAATATTACACTGAATTAAACGGTATTATTTTTAGGAAAGAAATTCGATCATAGATTCAAACTTACTACGGCGTAGAACCTCAGTATCTGAACTGGAGAATAATGATTTTGCACGTAAGTAATCATTCAATACCAAATTGTAATCACCCTGCAATAACACAAGCCACATGGAATGGAGGGGAAAAAGGAAAGAGATAAGATAATCAAATTAAATTTTCAGCTTGGGGTTGTGGAGATTGTTAAATTTCATTGAAATCATGAATCGACCAATGTTAGACCACCATTGGAAACCTGGAAGCACTGGACAGACGACTCGTCCTAGTATAAAACTCAACAGTGCGCATTCACGATCCTGCACGCGGGATTCGAATCCAAGGCCTTCAATGTCACACGCAAAAGCTTAAAATCTAGACGACTGAGTCGTCATCCAACAGTGTTAATGTGGTCTAATATTGGTCGTTTCAAGATTTCAATGAAATTAAACTCTTTCCATTAAGAAACTTTAAGGACATTACTGTAAAGTTAAAAAATTTAACATTGTGGGAATTGAGTTGATTAACTGCCAAAGCCCCTTCCATCCAAAAATTTCCTATGCAACTGTCTTAAAAAGAGCCAGTACATTTGACTTTGTGGATACTGTTCAATGAGGATTCTAGTGACAATAGATGACCAGATGTTTAATAATAATACTACTATGATAGACTTTTTTTCCTCTGGATGTTATTCTACATAAACTACTTTTTTAATACTTAGGCCTATATCATCAGATTCCAAAACACTCCTTCGAATATAGAGCAATCAATTATTAGTGAACAAAGTGCCTAACTTTCAATCACTAGGTTCCAGGTTCAAAAACTACCTTACACTACGTTAGCTTCAGCACCAAGTATCATCATACTAAGTGTGGATCAAAAGCAATTGTGAATCGACGTCTTTCCAACCAATTATAATAGAGTACTAAGAACACAATTTCTACGAAGATTACCATTATTTATTTGAGAAAATAAAGAATGTATATAATATCTTACTTTGGATATATTTGTTCGAATAGCATGTGGTAGATTGAACAGGAACTGATAACGTTGCAAAACAGATATAGCATTTTTAATTGAATCACCCCTATCTCTACGTTTTAAAATATCTTCAAATAAACGATGACCAAGTGTACGGGTATCTGAAGTAATCGAAGGATATAAAAGTTATGGTTAAAATCTGTCGAGTAATTGTTTTCATTCAATCTAATCGTTTTATTATGAAAAGTAAAGCCACAAAATTTTAGCGTAACAAAACAAAAACCACAATATAGTAAGATTTCCATTCTGCATTCCAGTAATATGTGAGATAATATTAATATCTTCCTATTTTAGACTAAAATAAAGTTTACCAGTAAGTGGTTGTGGAGGTTATTGAATTTCATTGAAATCATGAATCGATCTGACTTAGACCACCAATGAGAACTTGGAAGCACTGGACGGTCGACTCGTCCTAGAACGGTAGTCCTTATTAGTGTGCATTCACGCTACATGCTGGAATCGGACTCAAGACCTTTGGTCTCGCGTGAGGACGCTTAACCTCTAGACAACTGAGTCGAGACTAAACGGTGTTAACGTCTAACTTCAACCAACCCAAGACGCTGCATGACCATCCAATTCTACGATCAAACGGCTATCCAGTGCTTCCAGGTTTTCGATAGTGACCTAACTTAGATCATTTCATGATCTCGATAAAATGAGAGTTAAATCTTAAACCCAATAACCAACGAATAGCTTAACTGAACGAGTAGTTAAAACCCACCTGCAACGATTAATAAATGTATTTTACAAATTAGATCAGTGATTTGGAAACTATACAATTGCTTTAATCACTGTTCAACGTCGATATGATGTATCTAAGCATATGTAACCTTATTCAATCTAATAACTAACTGAGGGGAGAATAGAGTAACATTAAACTATCAAGCTGACAAAAAACATTTTATTCTAAATGTCGACATCTATCACAGGCAAATCAAGATTTATAAAAAGATTAAAGTTTTTTCCACACAAATAGTTCCCTTTATTATTTTAAAAAGAGAAAGAACAAAGATTGGTGGAGAATAATATGAATTCATTTTATTTCGTTAGGTTCTCATCAGCTGCTTACAACCTAAAATATTTGAAAATCAGAACAGAAAGGAGAGCCTACTTTTGATTCAAAGAACATATTCCGAAGAGTTTAAGATCAAACGGACTGAAAGCATTCAGCAGTGCCATTGCAAGACATCTCCTTGACACAGGACACTGAAGTCCTTCAAACAAACAATCAAACTCAAACCATTCGAAATTCGCCGAAGCGATAGCAATCAAACGTCTAGAGCCAGATCTATGTATACAAAAAGAAACAGTGATGAATCATTCTTTGCCCTGACAACATTACCCCCCCTTTTTTATTTATTTATTACGTCATTCACTATTCCAACTCTTTCTGAATTTTAAAATTACAACATTTATAACTGACTTCATATCTTTCTTCATTATCATTAATCTATTTTCAGTTACTTCATTATATAATCATCCAATGTGTTTTTTAATTACATGAGTTCTAATCACTATTTCAATGTTTTTGAAACTTCCCTCCCAAACTTTATTTATTCGAAACAATATTTTATGACATCATCAACTCTATTGAAATCTTCGCTACATCATGATACATATATTCATCCTTAATCACCCTATTATGTATAGAAGAGTATGTCCCGTAAGTATCATCATTTCATTCTGCTTGTGTGTGGGCTGTGATACTGTCCGGGTGCCCAAACCGAAGCAGGTGGTTTTTTTAAGGGGCCACACCCCGAGCCTTCAACCTAAAGGTCTCATCTACAAGGCACTGGAGTAACGTAAAGAGATGCAGTCCCATGGTAGTCGGTAACCAACAATTGGTTCATACGCCATTTGTTCCCGCAGGATACTGGGGCCCATATGCACCATTGGATTGGAATCCGGTTAAAGCGCTGGAAAGTCGCCTTTCGTCCTCTCATTTTCGTAAACAACACCCCCACCACGAGAAGCCAGTGAGTAGGACTTTCCTGGCAGAGGCTGTATACGCGTGGCTGTGTGAAAGCATTTCGACAGGGAGGTCGAACCAACCCCACTCTCGGCCATACCAGGGCATTTGGAGGCACCTTCGTGATGTCAGCCTGACCGTAAAGCGTCGGATCTATAACGCGTCGGTGAGAGCAGTTTTGCTCTATGCTTGTGAAACCTGACCTCTCCGAGTTTAGGAAGTTAGACGACTCTCTGTGTTCGATCATCGTTGTCTCCGAAGGATTGCTGACATCCAGTGGCAACACCATGTCAGTAATGCAGAGGATCGCCATCGTGTGTTCGGGCGAAGAGACAATAATCCAATTGGTGTTACCATCTTGAAACATCGACTTCGGTGGCTTGGACATGTTCTACGAATGTCATCCTAGAGAATTCCACGTCGTGCATTATTTGCCAACGCTGGGACTGGTTGGAGAAAGCGGAGAGGTGGTCAGTGTATGACATGGTGTCGTGGCATGAAAGAAAGCTGCAAAGGACTGGCTTCTGTTGGTCCTTCACGACTCCCTGGCTGGGGTCCGAGAGATGGTTCAGAGACGTTATCAGATGTGGCTCAGAATAGAAGCCAATGGCGATCCTGCTGAAAACTTATTTTACTTTCTTCATAAAACGTGGTTGTGTCTTCCTTAACTGAAAGATTTCTTCTGGTTCTACCTTTCCGTTTACCCCATTATTATTATCATTGTTATTATTATTACACTACCTTACACTAATCTGTGGTCGTTACTGTTCTTCTTTTCTTACACGCTCATTACCTTCTTTTTTCTCTTCACATTCTCATTCTTTTGTGTAGCGCATATATATTTGGTGCCCCCTTGTACCAATATTTATGTGTTCAAATAAATAAATAAATAAATCTTATGTATAAGTATGTCAATAACTGTAATAACTCTGATTTTCAAATATTTTAGGTTGTAAGCAGATTAAAGTTTGATTAAACTCATTGCACCATGTAAAAAACAACGAGATGTAAGTCAGAGATAACATAATTAAATCATTATATCTACTCGTATCATGTTTAGGCTTTAACAACAATGTATAATATTACAGCAACCGATTCTAAGCTATTTATTATATCAATATTCTAACAAATACTGATGATTAATGAAAATGAATTCTTACAAATAATGAAAAAGAAAGTACGTCAAATGTACAGTTATCATAAAATACATGGATGCTGAATTGAGTACCCGACCGAAGCTGCTACCTTGACGCGGTGGTCGGGCTTGTCTATCGTGATGACCCAAACGAGCTATATTGGCTGGAACATATGTTCCTGTAGGTTCTACCATGCCAGGAAGGTCGATTGGAGAACGGTAAGACTAAAAGCAGCAACTCAAGGTCTGAGGGCGAAGTCGTACTGCTGACTGTAGAGGGGTGTGACAGCAGTAAGGTGTTTCCCTCAGACAACCAGCATGACAGCGATGCTGCCTTCCCACAAAGAGGAGTGGGGTTAGAAAAGGTTGACCCTAAAAATGTCACACCTCACCTTACCTCACGGATTTCCGTCTCCGGCGGTAAGGCCCTTTGAAGAACGGAGCTAACACATTAAAAACCCTCCACAAAAGAGCCGTGCGCGACCGACCTCAAGCAGTTGCCCCTTGGGCTCTGTGGTCATGCTCCCAGGTCGTTAAGACCAACACTAATCCAATTTCCCTTTCAGGTTCCTCAAAAAAATACCCTTCCACGGTGTGGGCAGCCGGGAAGTGACACCAGCCCTCATACCCGTAACAGCACACGAGACCAAGTTGGTCACATTCAAATCCTTCCTACACCTTCTAATACCTCTCTTATCTCCATGACTAACCCTCCTCATGTCTCTTTATCACCTCGCACCGCTAGGGCAAACGATTCGAGTACGCGGAACGCTATTCCTGGTCTCCTGAAACCACGCTCTAAACTACACGTAGGAGCTTTTAACGTCCGAACACTGTGCCAAACAGAACAACAGGCTTCCCTAGCTAGGACTTTAGAATCTCGAGCCATCGATGTGTGCTGCGTCTCCGAAACGCGCATACAAGATCCGAGTAGCGACATTCATCTAACCTCACCATGCCAAAATAAAGAACCGAATCGATCCACACTTCGAGTATCTGGAAGCCCTGATTCTGCTTCCCGTGGACTCGCCGGAGTAGGCATAGCATTGAGTCCTAGGGCAGAACTAGCTCTCTTAGAAAGGATCCCAGTAGACAGTCGTTTGTGCGCTGTCCGACTAAACGGAACAGTAAGGATTCGAAAAGATAGGGACACTCGTCGTTGCCTCTTCGTCGTCTCTGCCTATTCTCCCACTGACTTCAGCGCAGATGATGTAAAAGATGAGTTTTACAGAAAGCTTTCCGACCTTCTCCGAAAGGCTAGGCGCTATGATGTAGTAATAATGGCCGGTGACTTTAATGCTCAAGTAGATAAACTAAGCGAAAGGGAAAGACACCTGGGTGGATCTTATAGCATCATGGCACAAAGAACAGATAATGGCGACCGTCTGTTGCAGCTATGCTCGGATAACCGCCTGTTCCTTGCAAATACTAACTTTAAGCATAAGGATAAACATCTTTTAACGTGGAGACCCCCTAATTCGTCCCAACGTTGGACCCAAATAGATCACATCGCTATCAGCCACCGATGGAGGGGCTCGATAGAAGACTGTCGCTCATTCTGGAGCACATGCTTAGATTCAGATCATGCTCTAGTGCGAGCGCGTATTTGCTTGCGTCTTACTGGACGTAGGAAAGACGCTGCAAGGAAACCTCTTAGGGGCCTACTTAATGATAGTCAAGCTAAGAGTATATTTCAGGAACAACTAGGAAAACAGTTAGGCAGCCATGTATGTGATGCCCACCCCGAGGCAGCATGGAATGATATCCGTAAAGCTGTGGAAACAGCAGTGATATCTGCTAGTACGGTAACCCGTAAGGTTAGGGAACGACACTGGATCTCAGCAGCATCTATCAGTGCGATAGATGCTGCTGGCTCCGAACATAATGAAGAGCGGAGTCAGCTTAAGCGCAAGCTGACAAGAAGTCTACGCAATGATCGTGAACAGTGGTGGGTAGCGAAAGCAAGAGAGATGAAAAAGGCAGCGGCAATAGGTAATAGCAGACAATTGTTCAGACTTGTTAAGAAAACCGGTATTAGGAAACCGACTGTTAGCGAAACTATCTCAGAAAAAGATGGACATATTATACATTCTCAATCCAGGAGATTAGATCGATGGGCAGAACACTTCAGGGATCAGTTCAACTGGCTTTCAGCCACACTTCGATTTCCCACGATCTCTAGTCAATCTGAGTGACAAGTTAATGTAGGTCCTCCGTCTCTCTACGAAGTTGAAAAAGCCATAGGAAATCTGAACCGAGGGAGAGCAGCAGGCCCTGACAGATTTACTCCTGAGATTTTTAAGGATGATGGTCCAGTATTAGCAGTGAGATTGACTGAGGACTTAGGTAGAATTTGGGAACTGGACGTAATCCCATCTGACTGGTCTCAATCACTGATTGTGCCAGTCTATATGAAAGGACAAAAGTCCTCTTGTGACAATTACAGAGGAATTAGTTTGACTAATATAGTGTCTAAAATATTAGCTTCAATAATACTTCGACGCCTAACCAAAGCTCGTGAAGAGCAAACTAGAGAAAATCAGGCCGGTTTTCGACATGGACGTGGTTGTATAGATCAGATATTCATACTACGTCAGATTCTAGAACACAGACACACGTCTAGACGCCCCACAATGGTAGTATTTCTCGACCTTAAGGCGGCATTCGACTCTGTTGATCGTAAGGTCCTATGGCAGTGTTTGTCACTGAAAGGAGTACCAAAGAAGTACATTAACCTTATTCAGGCTCTCTACTCGAACACAACTGGTAGAGTGAGAGCTTATGGCGAACTGTCATCAGAATTGATTACCTCAAGTGGTGTTCGTCAGGGCTGTCCACTCTCTCCTTTCTTGTTTAACTTTGTCGTTGACGTGCTTTTAGAGATGACCCATTCCTCATCTAAATTTACAGGGGTTGAACTTCTACTAGGAGGTTCACTTGTTGACTTAGAATATGCCGATGACAGTTTTATTTGGTGAAGACGCTGACAAAATGCAGTCTTCTGACCACTCTAAGCAACAATGCAAGCATGTTCGGCATGCGATTCTCCCCCTCGAAATGCAAAATGTTGCTTCAGGATTGGGTTGCATCGACACCCGAACTAATGATAAGGAGTGAGGTAGTTGAGCGTGTCGACCACTTCACTTATCTTGGAAGTCTCATCAGCCCTTGTGGTCTGGTATGTGACGAAATCTCAGCACGGATACAGAAGGCTCGACTAGCTTTTGCTAACTTGCGTCATTTATGGCGTAGGCGAGATATCCGTCTATCAACCAAAGGACGTGTTTACTGTGCAGCAGTTCGTACCGTCCTACTTTATGGCAGCGAAACATGGCCGGTAATAGTAGAGGATATTTGTAAGTTACTAGTAATCGATCTTATGTGTCTTCGAAACATTGCTCGTATATCCTGGGACCGACCATCAAGTAAGTGATGCAGTTGTTAGGAAACGGGTACTAGGTAAGGATAGCAAATCAATTGATGAAGTGGTGAAACTTCATCAGTTGAAATGGCTGGGACACGTGTTACGTATGCCCAACCATCGACTGCCTCGACGTGCGATGTTCGGTGGTATAGGAGTAGGTTGGAAGAAAGCTAGGGGCAACCAGACCAAAACATGGCACAAGTCCATGAAGTCACTGACAAGTGGACTGAGTCATATCGGTAGGTGTAAACTACCTGGTTGGGGACCGCGACATGATAGCAACCGATGGTTAGAGACCTTGAATGACATGGCTCAAAATCGTTTGCAATGGCGCAGGTGCATCCACTCTTTGTGTTCTCCCAAATTTTGATCTCTTGATTCCCCCTTGTCTCTTTTTTTTTCTCTTCCCAAGTTTATTTCACTGTATTACTGTATTACTCTTTAAGTGACATCTCCAAACACTAATCTTTCCGATTACTGCTTATACTCTTATTACCTCTACCACTACGGGATTTGAATCGACCACGGTATCTCTGTGCTAATGTGGTGTGGCAACTCGAACTGATGTACGTACGTACGAAGTTCTACGTTGTTACTGACTGACTGAATAGAGTTGTTATCATGTGTAGACACTGAAAGATTTCTTATAAATTAACTTAACATATAACTACATTACTTTTAAATACTATTCTAATATGATTTTTATTATCGTAATACATACAGTAATAAAATAGTTTTAAGAAAAATGAATAATCTCTACCGTAAAGAATTGATTCCAAACGTAAATCATTGCTGTCACTTGTTTCAATTGATTTTTTCTCATTGTCCAATCTACGACGTAAACCTGTACAATAAGTATAAAATAAACATAAAATGATAAATATATGTTTCACAGATTGAAATCATGAGTCAGTTGAAGTTAGAGCACCATGAAAAACCTTGAAGCCCTGGACAGTTGTTTCGTCCTGGTATGGGACTCCTCAGCAGTGCGCATCCACGATCCCGCACCCCGCGGGAGTCCCATACTAGGACGAAACGACCGTCCAGTGCTTCCAGGTTTTCCATGGTGCTCTAACTTCAACTGACTCATGATTTTAATCTGTGAAATCTCTAAAATCTCTACAAACACCTGATAAAATATATATTTCACAAAATATTTTTTTAAACACACTTATCACAAATTTAGTGCTTTGATAATTAACAATGTTACTGAGAGCTCATACACACAAACTAACCAAAGATGTTCACACTACAAAAATCTGCACATGATAAGAAAAAAAAGTCCGTAATCGATGAGATTCATGAAACTGACAACCTATCATGCCGATTTCGTATAGACAAAGAATAATATGACATATCAGGGTATAACCAACCTTCTTTACAAAAATACACAGACTTTCATACTATAGTTATATTTACTAATAATACATAGATGTTTTCAGCTTACCATCCATTCCATCCAGACACCGAAAAATTAAAACTAGATTTGTTCTAATAACATTGACAGGTTCGCCTGGACCTTCCTGACCCATACTTTGGCGAAAATTTTTCACCGTAACCAATAAATCATTAAAACTAAAATGAAGAAAATTGTTTACATTTCACCGTTTGAAATAATATCTTCAGAACCACTTGAAAGAATATAATAAATTCATAAAATATATATTCCTGTTGAGTCAATTACTCACCTTCGAAGGTAATTATCAAAATAAAAATTCCCTTACAAAACTTTTATCTTGAACTAGAAATAATCACAAGCAAAATCACTGCAGACTTTCACATCATTGTTAGAACGGATTTGAATTATCTTGTTCGCAATCTTGTCTGAATTTTGATCATTCTTTGTTGGTAGATGTGCATACTGTATGAATTACAGCTTGATTAAGCTACTTCTACAAGGAATCTAGCTGATTAGTCCTGAATAGGATCCCAGTGCTAGCTACAAATCCATCACTTTTATAAAAACATTACACGTAATACATATCTCTAATTATATCATCTCGGGTACTTTATTTCCATGAAATTTCTCATTCACAACACCTTGAAACACAGATAGCATAGGTATTATTGCTATTAAGCATTTGATAAATACAAATGATATGAAATATAAATCAGTGGAGATATAGATGGCACTATTTTATGTTGGTAAATTTCACAAACTTGGTAACAATGCTTTCATTATTACACTAGAAAGGTTGCTCTTACGAAACACATAGGGTAATCAATGTTTCTAATCATATAGTTTCATAGAATGTGTGGACTAAATTATTGAAACTATTAACAAATAGCCTTATAAGTGTACAGTGATCATAAAAGGTATAAACAAGCAGCAAAAACCGAATTTCGGTGTACGGAATTTACAAATCTTTCAAATTTTTCATTTAAATAATGAACCAATCTAAGTTCGACTGCCATTTGAAACCTGGAAGCACCAGACAGCCGTTTCACCCTAGTGCGGGACTCTTCAGCAGTGCGCACCTACGACCCCGCATGCGAGACTTAAACCCAGGACCTCGAGTCTCGCGCGAAAACGCCTAACCTCCAGACCACTGAATCAGCATCCAAAGGTGTTTACTTCTAACTTCAACCAATCTACGACATTGCGCAACCATTTTTCATTTTCTTCAGTGGATATCTAACTCCCACCCGACAAGGTTTGGCTCAACTGGTCACGGCTTTTCACCAAAACTCCAGAAATTCCCTATTGAAGATTGTCACTAGTAAGCACATGACATTTGCCAGTAAAATGCTGAAGAGGTTGTTGAATATTATTGAAATCACGAACTGATTTAAGTTAAACCACAATTGGAAACCCGAAGGCACTGAACAGACGTTTCGTGTTAGTACGGGACTCAGCAGAGTTCTAAATACCTCTATTAAACTGAAGATAAAAGGCAAAATAATTACAACCCTATGGATTATCATCAGTTAAGATTTACTTGATATGAGCATCTAGTTAAATAGTGAGTACGATTTATGGATCCATTTACTCATGCCAAAACAGACGCTAATTTTAATCAACCAGAATCCTTTTAGTATAATTGTCAACAGTTTCTTTTGATGCAAATCACTTTCCCCCGAATGCCCTGGTACGGCCGAGAGTGGGGAGAGTCCACTCTGAGTATAAACTAATAAGTTTTACAAATCTTTTTTATTTTTGTTAGCTTACTTGGAATTTTTATAGAATTTCAGTAGAAACATAACTGGATTAAAATCTTTATCGGCCAAATGCACTGAACCTGACCCTATAATGTGTAAATGTAAAAATAAAATGTTGAATCTGTTTTCAGAAAATGACTTCTACAAGAAAAAAATTTAATAATTTGAAACAACCATTATAAAAAGGCTAAATTAGTAGAACAAAGTAAATAAAAGAAACCGCAAGTTTCAAATTTAGAAAATACCAGCTAATGAAATGAGAAAAACCTATAAAACACTAAAATCTTCGTTTAGTCACTAATTCACTATTGACTTCATCGAGGAGTAACTATAAAAGTATTGGGGATGCTAGATCCCCACAATTCACTTGGTAAATGTCTCATTTTTTTAATTTTATTTTTTGAATTTGGATTTCTTGTTTTCGCGCCAAAAGCGCCCATTTTCACCCTCACAACGTATTTCCTACTTAAGAGGATCTTAAATGCCATTGGTTCGTTGTCTCTTTTAATATGCTATTTTGTAGCACTTCCCAAGGACATTTTTATGCTGTATATATACGCTTATGTTGTTCTCGTTATTGTTCGTGCTTCTGGCTGCTTGTGAAGTACATTTTCCTCCTCTGAACCTAGACTTCTCTCTCTTGTTAGTAGGGCTGGGACGCATCAGAATAGTTAGCTTATTTGGTCATTGTGTCGCTGAGTCGTTTCGTTCGCAGATTTAGGTAAACTCGTAATATCTTCAAACATAGCAATAAGCATGTTATCACTTTAATTCAGTCAGTCAGTAATGATCTAAAAAGAATGAAACATCCTACATTCAACCACTTGATCGCAGGTTTGAACTCCATTTCACCTACCTTTATTTTTTTCAGCTGGGTAGTAAGCAATAGTTCTCAAATCAATAGTACAATTCAAGGTTAAGAACATGAATACCTACTTCGCAAATGAGTTACACCACTCGGTATTATTAAATCTTAAATCCATTAGAAAGTTAAACACAAAGATATGTATATTTATGGTAGGACTGTGTTGCGTAGACTGCACGTACATAAGCCCAGGTAACATTACAGACTGATGGCAATGATTTTTCCTGAATTAAAAGCCTTATGTCTGACATCATAAAAATCACTCTAGTGACATTTTCATTACACTTAAGATATACAACTAAAACACATGATAATCATTAAAATGCATTACTCTAGACATGATTTGGGACACTAGTAGTGTTCATCAACTGTGAATTACTAGAATGATGAGTACACAAAATGCGCTGTTTCTTAAACAACTATTTTATTCATTTCATTTTAAAACACATCAGGAGTCGCAGGATTTCGTAAATGTACAAGATAAATTATTTGAACTGACTTTTAGGACCAGAAAGTATGAAATGAATTCAACTTAATCAGTCAAATTCAATTTATGAATAAAATACATGAGGACACAATTGGTAAGCAGATTCGCATTTATACTATAAAGCTAAACATGTGATTATATAAACTAACGAAGATAAAGCTTTGAACTGTCAATCACCTGCCAAAGCGCAATAACAGAATATAAATTGAAGATAACGGATTTGATGATGGAAGTGTACTGACATCAAACAAATAACTTAGTATAACGAATTTCGTTCGATATATCTTTTTATCTTGTTACAGCAATGTATAAACAGGTATGCTGCAGTTATAAAAAGTATACTAATTGACCATCAAATAGTGATTACGAAATTCATCATACGTACTATCTTCAATATATCATGCTGTTTATTCTACCTGAAATCATTCTTTCAGCCGTGATTAAGATACTGAACCATAAATCACTCTAATTTACATTTAGGTACATACCACTTCAGTCTAAATACGCAGCATATGATCCTTGCTTAAACAGAAAAAATCTGTTTAGTTATTTATTACTGCCCAGGAAATGTTATTTTACAACTGCGACCAGTGGTTGAAGAATTTGGATGGTATGACTTCGAATAAACCACAGTACAACAGTTACAGTCTTTATCGTCCTCTAGATTTTTAGCACCAGTACTGGTTTATAAACATCTTTTCTTTTTGTCTTTCCACACCATACTATAATTTCTTATTCTTTCTCATTGTCATCGATTCATTCACAACTAATCTTGTTAATTTCACCCTGTCGTGCTTGTGGTATGACAACTTAGGCCAACGCATATTTCTCCCAGGCTTTAATTCGATTATGACTAAATCCTATTAAAGAAATTAAGGGACTAATTATGTGTATGTTACTAATAAATTTCTTACGTGGGTATATTTCTCTCAAAGCAGAGTCTGACAGTGGCATACTAATTCGACTCAACTCTGACATTGGAAGGCCAGTGGAATGATCGAGCTCTGCTCCAGGAACACATCCAACAGCTACAGTAGATCCGGATGATCCTGCAGAAGTACTACCACTAGTAGGAGCAACACGTCTATCATCTTCTGGCCAATAAGTTACAACAGTTTGTGGACCTTAAAAGAAAAGGTTGTGGAATTTTAGAAAAGAAAATAGGGTAACAGGAGTTTCGAAAAGTGAGTAGATCAATTAACAAAATTAGCTCATAAGAATAGTGAAAATAGTATCTGACAAAAAATATCTATGACCAAGAATAGACACTATGGAGAATCATAAACACGGTAAATATGAAAATTGATGACGACTAGAGTTAAAGCTTTGAAAGAGATGATAAGAGCTCCTTATCTTTTGAAAATGTACTTTAATAAGTGTAAGATAAACTAACGATATTTATCGCATTTAACTTACACAAAAAACTCCAAAGATATAAATGTATATATTATTGGTAGATTTATTTAAGCTACGATCACTCACCAGTCTAATGCGATATTAAATAAATCCTTAAACAATACGATACGTATCTACTATCTATGGGTTTACGTAGACAACAACCACTACAATTAATACGTAACATTTTTCCAATTTAAATAGTAAACTCAAATACACCATGAATTAAAGGTCTGATACTATATGCGGTATTTCAGTCTTCAACTTATTTTATCACAGATACTCCAAACCAGGCACAATAACATAACAGACCAATGTCCCGATTTCACATAACACATATTGACACAAATAATCCCCAAATGACTAATTTTGTGAATTGCATGTGATAATATGGAATTAATGATGACTTATCTAAAACCTCGTATTCGTAAGCACCAAATAATTTTAATTTTATTTCTGCTTTTCTTTTCCCATTTCTCAAGCCATTCATGAAATTTATGTTGATTTAATATTCTTATACAAGCACAGGTTTATGCACCCAGTTATAAGCCAAACGCTCTATGAGAATAATAGTAATAACACCTGATTGTTCACGATAGAATAAATGGAGTTGAAAGTCTCAACACTGGTTGAAAATCGAGGGGTCTAACCATTCAGCCAAGTGTAGAGGCACTATATTATTGTTGAGAACTCAAGTCTTAGTTCTAATATTATGAAATAAAGAAACCAAAACAATACAATAAATGCGAAAAATTGAGATTTGGGCTTAGGTGACAATGTTTAATGTCTTAAAGGGCTTTAGCGCAAGCTCAATTAATATTACAGCCTCTAAAACTATTGTAAACAGTAAAGCACGATCATAACTAACTAAACCAACTTACTGACTACGCGAAGGATATTTTGGCGATAAATCACTGCGGCAGTTCCAATGCCCCCACTATCGGTAACCACAACGATTTCAAGTTCACCTTCTCCCAGTGGTGTAATGGCAGTAAGTTTCTTGGGTGAGAACCATTGAGCACTTCTTCCAACATCTATCCCACCAATGAATACATGTAGAAGATCACTTGCAGTGTTCCCCAAGTTTTCTCCTCTAATAGTCAGTTTTGTACCAGGGGTTCCTTGGTTTGGAGAAATCCCATTAACTTGTGGAGCAGGACCACTAGGTTTCCCCATTACGGAAAATTAGGAACAGTTAAAAACGTCCTCCTGAGAGACAGTAATAGTGTGAAAACAAAGACTAATTCACTTGTGAAACAAATGTAAACTATGCTATATTACCATAATCTATTTGATTTACAATTGGTAATGAATAATAACAGCCTTAATGGAATACCTCAGCATTCAAGCGCAGCTTTATATAATGGACTATGAATTAAACCTCTTTCGTGGAGCAAGGTCTACTAATGAGTAGTCCAAACCTCAGTATGTAACACATGCTAGCGCCGTTCACTAGAGTGTAGGAAGAATATGAAACATCACACAATCAGTAACTAATGAATATACGAGGAAAGGGAACAGAGTACCAACGCAACGAATTATATTCTTAAAATTGAATAACGTGGTCGGAAGGTAAAGGTCATTACAAAATACAGTTTTATGGGCGCCTCGAAAGTTCAGTTTATGAATAGTTTGATATCCTTCCTCCAATGCATTTACCCCTTGTCGCCTTGCAGGTAAAAGAACAAGTTCATGTTAATAATATCATGTGCAATAGTTTCATTACTGTTACAAATGTGTGAACTAGACTTTGCGCCTATGACCTACTGATTGACATTCGAGTGCTTAAACCAATGGATCACAGTTCCAATGCTCAAAATGGATAGACTAGTGATAACAAAGGTGATATCTAACAGATAAACTGACTGGAATTCAGTTAGGTAAGCAATTACAGAAGCTTGCCACCAAAGACGCTATTACCAGTATTCAAATCAATAAGAAATTTCCCTAAAAACTGAAATATATGGGAATTGCCATCGATTTAAGATGCCTACTCTGTTTTAACCTTCTTAACTAAGCTGTTCAAGACCATTGTGAGCTGCTAAACTTACCAGTAAATTGAACATAAGAGCTTCCTCAAGTGCTTCAAGGAATATTCAGAAGACCATTATAAAACATTATCTATGGATCGGTGTAAATTATTTGATAATTAAGATGTAATTTTTGATCGTATTGCACTATCTAGCATAAAATATCTAAAGTTAACACCTTCGAATTATAGAAATTTGTAATTGTATCAACTTTTTCGTTTCACTTACTGCGAATCTTTCCAGAAATCGGATAGTGTTTATAAATGTAACTGATGTTAGGTAAAACAAACTAACAGACAGTACATCGAAAATATGGAAGAATCCAGTAACAACTTGGATCAAAAGCTAAACAAACATAAATGACGTAAGTGTGGAACAGCAGTAGCGATGGGTGATGGTTGTGGAAAGTACTAACGATATATTCAGACGATTGCTGGGTCAGCAGTCTAAATTGATCTAGATTCTCTCTATGGATCGGTGTAAATTATTTGATAATTAAGATGTAATTTTTGATCGTATTGCACTATCTAGCATAAAATATCTAAAGTTAACACCTTCGAATTATAGAAATTTGTAATTGTATCAACTTTTTCGTTTCACTTACTGCGAATCTTTCCAGAAATCGGATAGTGTTTATAAATGTAACTGATGTTAGGTAAAACAAACTAACAGACAGTACATCGAAAATATGGAAGAATCCAGTAACAACTTGGATCAAAAGCTAAACAAACATAAATGACGTAAGTGTGGAACAGCAGTAGCGATGGGTGATGGTTGTGGAAAGTACTAACGATATATTCAGACGATTGCTGGGTCAGCAGTCTAAATTGATCTAGATTCTCTCTATGGATCGGTGTAAATTATTTGATAATTAAGATGTAATTTTTGATCGTATTGCACTATCTAGCATAAAATATCTAAAGTTAACACCTTCGAATTATAGAAATTTGTAATTGTATCAACTTTTTCGTTTCACTTACTGCTAATCTTTCCAGAAATCGGATAGTGTTTATAAATGTAACTGATGTTAGGTAAAACAAACTAACAGACAGTACATCGAAAATATGGAAGAATCCAGTAACTTGGATCAAAAGCTAAACAAACATAAATGACGTAAGTGTGGAACAGCAGTAGCGATGGGTGATGGTTGTGGAAAGTACTAACGATATATTCAGACGATTGCTGGGTCAGCAGTCTAAATTGATCTAGATTCTCTCTAATACCCCTTTGGGAGTTAATGCAACACATTAGATCCCTAGATATGCTCTGCCTCATTAAATCGACCAAGACTCTGGGTTAACTTCCAGTGATGTTGTTACTTAAGATCAACAGACAACAAACATCAGAGATATGTTACCGATTCAGATCAGTCTGAGGGATGTGATCTCAAAGTTTATATACTTCATAATAGATTTGTTTTTAGTCCCAGGCGTTCGGTATTTTTCACAATAAACCCTAGCAACATGTCACCCAGAGGGAAGACGAAAACTCTATAGTCTACACCTAAGTCTCAGTGCATGGCACTTCGCCAAATCGTACCTATACATAACCACCAAAGCAGACGTCATACTTACAAGACAATTAGACAATTCAGAAAATCAAAACACTCAAGGAACATATGATGGAATTTATGAGAATATTGACAGATACCACCTCAATACTGTGGAGATACACTACAGCCGATATTAACAGTCTTACTACCAGTCTGTCATTCAGCTGTCTCTTAACAGTTGTCAAGATGCAGCCAAGCAACGACAGCTCAAATTTATATAATATTTGCTTTACCCACATAAAGAATGGAAATTCGTGACTTACATCCCAACGTAGAATTAAGAAACCCACAGACTCATGCTCTTCACTATTTATTTAGACGTAAACATTGGCACCAAATACATATGCGCCACACAAATCATTCGATCAGCGTAAGGGCTGAAATACTGCCAGGTTGGCCACCCCCACGCCTTTTACCTGAAAACCTGATCCACAAGGAGGTGGAGCGACGTTAGAAGATTCAGTCACATGTTAGCCAGTGACTAACGATGGGCTCATACGCCTTTTGTTCCCTCGAAATCATGAAGCCACTAGATGGATCCTCCATATCCACCAACCCGGTCAACGCGCCAAACATTTGCTTTGCGTCCTCTCAATTTTTCGAACACACTTGCCTCGAGAAGGCAGTGAGTGGAACTTTTCTGGCAGTAGCTATATACGTGTGACCACGTGAAAGCATTTCGAGAGAGAGCGGACTCTTCCCAACCTCGACTGTATCGAAATATTTGGAAGCCATCGCTATTACAGCCAGTTGATGAGATTTCATGAGGCTCTTGAGACCCTTTCGTAAGATTCGTTATTATCTGACTGATACTCTAAGCATAACACCCGCATTATTCATGATATAATTTCAAAACGAAGGAACATTGATTTCAAAGACAAATGTCTTTGAACGTATGTAAACAATGTGCGTCTTTTAGTCTTAAGATAAAAAATTTTGTCCGACCTCAGACACTAATGCTTCATTCGTTTCAAGTAATAAAACTGGATTTCCATACTTAGTGATCTTTTCACTTAAGTGTGAAGTTCGTCGGAGTTCGTTGCTCCTCTCAATTTGGATTAATCAGTTTTCTCAACTTTACAAAGCTTTATGAACTCGAATTCAATGAACAAAGTGTAGTGTCGGTAACAAGTCAACTTGTTACTGGTATTGCACTGTTGTATTGCACTCTTGCACTGTTACATCCGTCTTTAGAAGCAGAACACATAATGAATACCATAGATGAAGTCGGTAGAAAAAGTGCACTGAATATGTAGGAAACACACAACTAGAACTACTACTAAAGTAAACTAGAAGTGCCATAAGTGAAAATCCAGGTAGGAAGATAGGTTAGAATTAACTCGTACCGGCTAAGTTGAAGAGTCCGCGGTACTGTCCAGCATAATCTCTGAGACTTGAATAAATTCACCGATTGATTTGCTTATAATACAATCTCCATGTTGGATAATGATTAAACTATGAAATTTTTAACCTCTGAAACTACATCTAGTCATTTATAATTTTTTGACCGCCTTCGACATTATTAAACTCAAAGCACGACAATCATTTCTTCTTCTGAATACTACTTTCTATGGTATATTAGGAGCACACATGCCTTCAGCGAGTGTCTCAGTACCTACATACCCACATAGATGATCGCTGATACCATTTAATATCATCGATGAAGCTAAGTCATTTCTGCGATGGACAGACAGCAGACAACTGGACGCTTCACAGTTTGTCGGACATCGTCAGTGCCACAATTAATCGATGCAGATTAATCAGAGGCACACTACAAAATGGTCAACAGAACAGTGTCCTCTGTGTTCCTCCTTAAGCAACTACAAATTTGGTAAGATTTTGTTTGTTCAAAAACCCAAGTTACATGATTATCACAAGTCAAATTAGGTATTTGTGGCAACACACTTTCTGGTCCATGAATTGATTCAGATACTGTGAACTCATCCAGTGTTCCTGCACTTCTTTGACGGAAATATCTCCTACCGTAATACGTTTAAAGGTTGTGCTTTTTCTACAAGTTCGGACGAATCTTTTCAGTGAAGGAAATCTACGTGTTTATACCCGATTTGAAACGTGAGTTAAGCGCAAAACTCCATCATTTTTGCCTGCATAACAGCCTGAAATACTTAAGGAACAATGAGAACATATTAAGTCGTTCACTTCAGGAACTGCGTTATATGTCAGTAATAACGAGGCCTAACGAGTCAGAGTCATGGAAATCAGTCGACCTATGGGATGGTATATCTTGTGACATTTCAAAATGGGTTAAAGAATGTCCTTCTCCACATATGTGAGGTCGAATTCTGACCAAAGATTACTTATTACAGAGTACGTTAATCTTGAGTATTTTCTTCATTGCCACCAAAAAAATTTAATCTTCTGCTTACAGTCTTCTAAACCTTCAAATTTCCGAACATAACGCGAATTCATTATCTACGAGTACAGACTCAGGAGACCAAAAACTTTCAACCTTCATTTTTTGTGACAGTTGTTATTAAATCTATCATGATAAAACAGCTCAAATCGAAGGATACTATGGTAACTTCTTATGTTAATATACACAATCCAATGATTAGTTTTACAGTACAATGTACCTATTCGCTACAGAATCGTATTAAAATGCTGGATCACCTCTGCCAACCGTACGATTGACGACTTATAATTGTTCTTAATTTACCGACATGATTTACTGACAATACCAATTATATATTCCTAAATGAAATGAGCGGGTACATTCAATTATCGAAAATACGATAAATATGACAATAAAATATGTTACTAATATTAAAGCCACCAGTATGAAGTTCCTAAGTCTTAGAATGGCCAGTTCTCAAGACAGAAAACATTTGGAGTTCACCCAGCAGCAACATTTTATTTTCAAGTGACTACTTCATCGACACTGTCTTTTTATATTCCGATGACCCATAATCGATGTTATCAAACTGTTTTCGATGTCCGTTTATGGCGGCTTACTTGAGCATCTAGGCTACCTGTTCCTGCCATCTAGATATTTCAACAAGTTATCTATTTTTGTTTGTTCTAATATATCATTATGTTTATTAATCGCATAACCTATTCTGCTGCGTTTCTGAAAAGTGTACAGCTTTTCGTTGTCAAAGTTACAAAGAACTCAATAAGAGACAATGTGGTTGCTGGCAATATACAACGAAAAGAATGTACATTATTCAGATGTTCATTTACTGAACTGCTAACAATTAACTGGCGATCACCCAATATTTATCATTAGGACCGACCAAGAAGAAAGAAACGGAAACATGCTGATAATCCTATATTGTACCAAAAATATAATATTGAATAAAACTGATGGTAATAATAATAATAATAATATAAAGCTATTATTATATGGATGATGTTCGGAAAATAAAATCATCGATGATCAGTACATTAGCTCGTAGCGAATCCACCTCCCTCAAGTGCTTAGATGATTTCAAGTAACAATATGGATATGTGACCGGTTTTTGGTACCAAAAGCAAGTTCATGAAAAATCATGTTTAGTTCATACCGATCAGTCTATTCCCTCACGCTATCTACTCAGAGTTAAATCAGCAATATGTGTGAGTTGTGACAATCAAGAAATCATAATAACCCTCGATTTATAGACGTGATAGTCATGATGGCGTTTTATTAATTCACTGATTTGACAGTGCGATAAAATATTTTTCAAACTCGACGAATGTATATGTATAGTACTGATTAAAACCATCTACATTCATATCTTATAAATTATCAACCCAGCTATGTAATTTACTACAGTGTATATTGTATCATTTGTATCAATTTGATCTTGCCTGTAAACTGGCATGCCTCATGTAACAAACTGTTATTTGAGAATAAATTATTATTATTATTATATGGAATCAAGACTAATCAGCTATCACTGCGAGGTGTCTGCTGAGGAAATACATGATAAAATCGAGTACTGAAAATAATAGAGATCAGGAACAGTTTGCACTGTTTTGTAAGTGATAATCAATTAAACTAATTAGGAAAATAGACAAGATATTATACGTCATTTCGAAAGTCCAGGATTTTTAAGTTGACGCAAAAGCTATTGAACTAATTTTACTTACTCGGACCCACCTTAGAGTATTATAAAGTTACCATACTATTCCACCCAAAGTTAATAATCAAAAGCACAAGATATTAAGTCAGCAAAATGCTCAGACCCTATAAGACTATTTGTGTATCAGAAATAACTGTCGCTCTCCAAAAGATACATGAAGTCACAGAATTCGAACGCGTATGCTCAAATGATAGTGACACAATACGACAGCTTAGATGATGTAATGCTGATTTAAACGGATTGGCTATCATCAAGTGAAAGCAATGAAACAGGAGTGATTCAAATAAATAAAAAATTACAGATAGATGTGACTGATTACCTTGTTGTGGATCAAAAATTAAGCATCCTTTTCACTTGCTTAAACCTAAAG